CAAGAAGAAGAAGGAGAAGAAGAAGAATTTAGAAGGACATCGATCGACTGCTGAAGAACAACTCAACTCTTCATCATCATCATCCTATCATCATCTCAATCAGATCACTAACAACACTCAACAGGACTTCAGCTTCTGGGACGAACTGCTACCCGATGACTCCTCACTCGATCCCAATAACACCACCACTCTCTCAGAAGGAGAACCAGAAGAAGGAAAGACGGTCTTAGTCAGGATGACCGACTACTCAACCGCCTGCAGATACCTTGCCGCACAGTGCATGATCAGGCAGGGCAAATGGGACGCAGCCCTCGAGATGGTAGGCGAGGAGAACCCGTTCAGAAGCCCCCTGTCTGGCCAACAAGAACACGACGACGACGACGACGACGACGAACACCTCGACCTCTCCATCCTCAACCCACCTTCAACCACCATCCCACCAGAAAAACCTCCACCACCAGAAAAACAACAAGATCCAACTGGAAAGAAGCCCAATGATCGGCACGCTCAGACCCGTGGGAGAGCGGCCGCGGCGGCCATGGACGGCGGGATCAAGTTCGAATCCTCCCTCTGCTATCTCCGTGGACTCATCCATCTCAACCATAAAGCCCTCGATCGCGCCAAACAGGCCTTCCTCGAATCACTCGCCCTCGATGTCAAATGCTACGAAAGCTTTGAGGCCCTTGTGGGTGGCAACATGTTAGAGCCCGAAGAAGGTACATCCATCCATCATCATCATCCTTTTCAAAATACATAGACTGACTCTAAAGATCTTCATTAGAGTGGGAGTTCATCCAGTCCCTCGAATACCACTCACAAACCCCCGAAGACGCCCTCTTCATCCGCTCCTTATATACCGTCCGGCTGAAGAAGTTCGAGCACAAGACCCACCTGTTCGAGTCCTTGAAGGTGCTCAAGAACCAGTACGGACTCAGCGACGATCCCGACGTCGCGTTCGGCTTGGCCGATTGGCTGTACACTAATTATCGGTTCATCGATGCTTATCGAGTCACTTCTAGGTTCTTCTATCCTCATCTTTTTTTTTTCCTTCTTGCAAAAAAAAAAAAAGAAACTGATGTTTGTTATCGTAGGGATTTTGAAGTTGCATTATCATCATCTGCCGACCCTTCCGTTACATCTGAGCGCGATGACGATGATCAAGAAGCTATTACCGGCGCTTTTCCTATTGGCCCACGAACTGATCGACCGGGAGCCGTGCTCTCCGATCTCTTGGTATGCCGCTGGACTATGGTATTTCAGCCAGAAACGATGGGAAGAATCTCGCCGGTTTTTCTCGTACGTTTCTCGCGTCTCTTTGAAAAATCCGGTTTTGTTGTTGTTGATGACAATGGTTGGTTGGTTGGTTTTTATGTAGGAAGGCGGCCCTGTTGGATTCTAGGTTCCCGGAGGCTTGGTTCGCCTTCGGTCATGCCTTGGCGTACGAAGGCGAACACGACCAAGCCATCACCGCCTACTCGACCGCCTCCCACAACTTCCAAGGGTCCGTCTCCTTCCCCTCTCAAACCGTTCCTCCTCCTCCAACAACAACAACAACAACAAAAAAATGCGCATTTTTAATCAAGGACTCTTGAATTTTTTTAGGTCTCATTTACCGTTGCTGTTTATCGGCATGCAGCATATTCAATTGGCCAATCCGGTCCTCGCTAATGATTATTTATCGGCAGCCGCCGAGATCTCGCCGTGCGATCCACTAGTCATGCACGAACGAGGGGTGGTGGCGTATTACCAAGAACAGTTCAGTCTTTCTCCTTCTTCTGTTTTTTTTTTTCAGAAGAAAGAAAGACGTAGTTTGTTGTTGATGAGAAGGACCTCTTTTTTGGGGGGTTTGGGGTTGGACAGATGGGAGAGCGCGGTGGATCTGTTCAATCAGACTCTCACATTGGTCCTCAAGGCCCAGACGGACCCGCTTATCTGGGCCCCCACTTACCTCAACCTTGCCCATTGTTATCGGCGATTAAAGTCAGCTCTCTTCTCTCCTAACATAAGCAAAAGAACTAAGTTTTTTTTTTTTTCTTTTTTTTCAGACGGTTTGCAGAGTCTCTGGAAGCAGCAGAGAAAGCAAAAGCGCTCCTCCCCCGATCCGCGTCCGTTCTGTCCGCCCTAGGTATGGCGCATCTCGGCTTGGGCCAAAACTTGGAGGCGATCAAATATTACCATGAGGTCGGTGTTTTTCCTACTCTCTCTCAAGAAAAAAAAAAACAAGTAGGAGAAGAAAACTGATAGAGACCATGGGATTGTTTGTGAAGTCGTTGGCTGTTTTACCAGCGGATCCGATGACGACCTGTCTTCTCCAATTCTCACTCGACCTCGAAACCACCACCAACGCGACTACCTCGACGACACCAAGGACGAGGATTCGGACGGGGGAAGAGGGGCCAGGGGAGGGAGAGGCTGGAGGCCCCGAGCTCGGCCTGGTCGCCCAGATCGTCCCCCGCCAGATCCGCCAGTCGTGGCTCGACGACTTCAGGCTCTTCGATCATAAGCTTGAGCAGCAGTATGGCGACCAGGTCGATGCTGCTGCTTTGCTGCACCCCCCAGGCTCTTGAAATCTACTCTTTTTGTTTATCGCTCTTTTTTTACATGCGTTGTATGACGTACTCATTCTTTTGGCTTCTGCATTCATCTACGGATGAAGAGCGGCGAGATCGCTACACTTTTGTACAGCTTTTTTCTTACACAAAATTACATCAATCAATGGTACAATAACAACATTAACAACAGTAAACACGGGCAATTTAAGTTCAAGCAAGTGGACGGGCTGGGCCAATGAAGAGTGGTCTGCTACTATTTTAAGCGGCTTCCTAAATCGAAATGGAAAGCTGTCTTGGCAATCATCTAGAGACTAGTAACATCTTTCAGCCTTTCTTCGCTTTCACAACCACCACTCCGTCGCCACAGTTCGACTTTAGTTTCCCGCTGACGGTGGCCGCCATGGGTAGTTCGGGATAGTACTGCAGGAATGTAGAGAGGGAGGGAGAGATGGATGGTCAGCTTTGATGAGATCTTTGGGCAGCCCGAGCGGATTTACGAGTTGATGATTAAAGCTTCGTCGGGAATGGATTGATAAGTGTGTGAATCAAGTCTCACTCACCGGATCATAGGTGATTGTGCCCGGGTCACAGCAATAAGTCTTGGTCCCATATCCGCCACAGTCGAAGGTTATGGTCTGGCCGGGCGGATAGAAGGTGGGCAGCGAGACTTAAGACAAAGCGATGCCGATCGAAAGCTATAGGGATCAGTGAATGTGGAGCATACTAGAAGTATGTAAGAGGGAGGATGGGGAAGATCGACTGACGATACGCCCCGGCCTGGCACAACCGCTGGTACTTCGTCTCGTCCCCCCTCCCCTTTCGGGGCGGACATGAGTACACATCGTACGCCTCCGCCGGCGGCAGCTTCGGCTGCACGCGTCGGACCTGCGCTCCTTGGCTGCTCCCCAGCATCCTCGCTATCATCGTCCCTGCTGCAACCGTCATCGCCATCGTTCTCGCCTTGACTTGCATCACCATCTTCTTCTCCTTTTTTTTTCGGAATCCTTTCTTTCTTTCGGGTATAACTAGTGATCAGCTATTGTATATACGATCCTTTTTTTTTTGGATTCTTGATCAAAAGAATCTGTTGTTTTTTTTTTTTTCAAGAGGTTTTTTATGTAAACTATTCTGCGTGTGTTTTAAGGACTCGAATGTGAGGGAAGTCAAAAAGTGGGGTTTTGGGAAGAAAGAGAAAGAAGGTGTTGTGAGCAGGAGCAGACTTGAGCCAACTGGAGCTCGGCTTTTTAAATCCTTCAAAGAAAGGCAGAAGGAAGAAGACAGACAGATCCGGTTGTCCAGCGCAATGCTGACTGTTTAACCTTACCACCCGATGTCCCATTGTATAAAAAAGGTTGCGATCTCCGGACCCGAGCTCCCGATATCCAGCCAGCCGAGCCGGCTCCCAAGTTCCGTGGACCGGACGACCAAACCTCGGCTATAACGATCACACCTCTCCAGCTATAAAAGGCTCTCTTCCTTGCTCCATTGCTTATATCACATCGCCTTGCCATTCGGCCTTCGAAGGTGTATGGACTGTGTTCGCCGAGACAAGGCGTCATCGCTAAGGTTGCTTGGTCACCAGTGGGTCTTACACACCTCGCTTGTAATCCACCCCCCCCCCCCTTACTCTCGGAGCCGACGAGCAAGCTTCGAATTCAGCGTCGAATCCAGCGTCGATTCCATAGGATCCCTCTTCGTTTTACTCCTTGCTGAGCAACATCTGAATCACAAGGCACTTGTGAAATACAGCGACTTCTTTGCCAGGACACTCAATGCAGTCCGTCCAGATATTCAGATGTGTATTGCTGCCCTTGGGATCCAGCACTAAAAAAAGTATTTGGTCGCATTTTCCCCAGGCGCGATTATAACATCGCCTGGTGGAGTGCGAAGTTATCGCGCCTGGGGATAATGCGACCCAATACTGTTCAGTCAAGGTGAAAAGTGTTAGATCGCATGATCCACAGGCGCGATAACATCGCCCGGCGGGATGCGATGTTATCGCGCCTATGGATCATGCGATCCAACACTTTTTCTAGTGCAGTTGCACAGTCCTAATTCCTTGTCCAATGCTTCCAGTCAAGGCTGCCATGTTTACCCCATGAATCTGTCTTACCAACGATTCTTGATAGAAACAAGAGAGAGAAAAAAATCAAATGCAAAATGGTTGGAGAAAATGAGCAGAGGACTGAGGTTTGATAAGCCCCACAAACCAGGGTTCAACAAATATGAATACAATTGAGCAGACAAACATAATATAGTGATTGTAGACTATGGTGAGATGAAAGCAGGGTGATGAGACAAGTCATGTGAGAGGTTCAAGAAATGATTACAGGAAGAGGTTTGGGGAGAACAGTCCTAAATTGAAAACAGAAGGGGGGTTTTTTGTGTGGATCAAAATACTATTCAATTGCCTCTCTGATCAGTATTTCACTTCCATTTCCAGCATTATCTCCTCCACTTCCTCTCCACACTTTCCAAAAGAATTCTTTTCCTTTGAACATGGAATGTGCTATAAAGATCAGTTGCTTTTGAGTCATCAGTTTGAGCCTGCATATGCCCAAAGCCACACAAACAGAGAGAGGAGAAAATGTGTAACCTGTGAGCAACGGTCGTATTGTCTTTATTTTGAGCCTGATACTGGTATCAGTATTTCCTTGGTTGGTGAGAAAATCCATTGTCTTGGATTCAGATTTACAAATGAAAAAAAAACTTGTCTTTTTTTTCAATACATATGGCCAAATACAGCCAAACCGAGAAAGCTTGCGGTCTCGGTTGGCAAAAAAAAAGAAAAAAAATTGCCAGCAGCTGGAATGTTTGGAAGACTACACCACCCTGTATGCCCAAATACATACAGGGTTTACTCTTGATTTTAATCACTATCTTTTTTGTCTCTTGATTCTAGCTCATGAGGGTAAGAGCATTGGAATCCTGATAGCAATGTTGGTCTGGCCGGCCTATCATGTGATTCGTCCCCAGTCCCAGCCCTCCAGTACCTTGACTGGCCAGGCCCCATCGACAATGCCTTCAAGCATTTGGAAGTCTGTACACTCACTGTATTCTTCCAAATCTTCCAACTGCAGTCGAAGTTTTTTTTTTTTTTAGAAATTCTGCCAACCGAGACCGCAAGCTTTCTCGGTTTGGCTGTATCTTGTGTATCAAATACATTTTTGGTGGGATCAGTCATCTGAGACAATACAGAATACTTGTCTCAATGTCTAAAGACAATACTTGTGTATTGTCTCAGAAAAGTGAGACAACACAAATCCGTTATTTTTGGGTATTTGAATTCTGAGACAATACAAATAAACGCCTGATAGCGTCTCGTCTCATCTCTGTTGCACCGTTGCTGTGAGATAAATTGTGTTGTCCCCCTAAAGCCACTGGGAAATACAAAATAACAAGGAGAAAAGTCACCTCAATTTCCACCAGTTGACCTGACAGGTACTGCACTTCTTGTGCCTCCAAAATCATGAGTAAATTGTAAATTTCTATGCATAATGACTGATACTGTGAAGCATGCACAGCAACTATGAATTGAATCTTGGTCAAAACAACCTCTGAGCAAGGCTTGAGTAGCAAATAGCTTCCACATGTCAAGTGATGGCAGTTGAACAACTTATCTTTGATCAATCTAAAAGGTTAAAAATCAATATTAATTTGTGACAAATAACATCCAAAATTAGAATGGCACCTTTTTAATTGTGTAATTGAATTTATTTGATTGTCAAGAGGAAGTTCAATTTGGATTTACTGCCATATTGCTGAAATAGACACCTATCCAAACAAGTTTAATTTGTAGAGACATCTGCATTAGAATATTTTTTGATAAGTGTTAAGATAAACAGGGGCAATGTGTGACTAATTTGCACAGATCCATTTTCTGTGATTCTTTACAAGTGAGAGAGAAAAGATGTGGTTCTGATTCACTAGAGAATAAGCATATAGAATAACCTGTATTGGATCTATATACAAGATTATGTTTGCTGACTTGATTGAAGCATACCTTGCTTAAATCATATACTTCATTCTTCAGCAATGAGTATACTCATGTACTTTCCCAGATCAAGGTGGCACAAATCAGAGTTGCCCACAGGTTTGCGTGAGACATTTGAACTATGGTTACAGAACTCAATTTCTCATAGACTATAAAAGTTTCTTATCAAAAGGAAATATACAATTGTACTTAATTTTAGGCATAGGAAAGAGCCAGCAAAACCAAAATTTATTTCTGTTTGCCAGTTGTCCAATTTCCTCCTATATTTTCTTGTTGTGAACATTAATAATTGGAATACAGGATCTGAGATGATTCATGAATACAAAAGGAGGGAGGAAAGTTGAATTGATATTTATATTAGAGATGGCCCCGTTGCATCCGGATATCCGCGCGGATGCGGATATCCGGCTGCCTTTTCAGGGGGAAGCCACATCCGCACCCGCAACCGCAACCGCGGGCGGGTATCCCCCCGCCTGAGCGGGTATCCGAGCGGGTATCCTCGGATACCCGGCCTTTAACTTGGCCGGCGAGGCACATCCTTGTCGACAGGAGGGACTTCCTTTGAGCCAGGCGAGGCACGTACCTCGCCGACTGGAAAGATCTCACTCTACTCGACGAGGGGTGTTTTG